GAGGAGGAGGAGGAGGAGGAGGAGGAGGAGGAGGAGGAGGAGGAGGAAGAGGAGGAGGAGGAGAAGAAGGAAGGGAAGAAGAAGAAGAAGAAGAAGAAGAAGAGGAGGAGGAGGAGGAGGAGGAGGAGGAGGAGGAGGAGGAGGAAGAGGAAGAGGAAGAGGAAGAGGAAGAGGAAGAGGAAGAAGAAGAAGCCATACGCTGCTTCCTATTGCAAGGACTTTAGTAACTCAACTGGAGGGGGGAATCCACAACTTTGAAAATCGAACCGAATCTAAAATTATTTTTCCCATAATTATTAAAAACGTTCAAATTCCTGATTAAGGAACGCTGGAGGGCAGAAGGATCTCCAAAGACATGAATGAAGGAAAAGGGTGAAAAGAAGAAATCCCAGCTTTGCCTGGAAGGCTCCGTGTGAAAGAGCCCGGCTCCTTTGGTGACTCCAGGCCGCGTTTTGCAGGCGGCCGCATCTGCCTCCCCTGTCTCTTACCTCCTGGATGTTAGGAACTATTTGTGGTCGGCGTGGTGGAAGGACACAGTGAGGTTCTCACCTCCGCCCCCCGCCCGTCGCTCGCATCCCCAGTTCCATCAAAGCCAACCCGGGCCAGCGCAGGGATCTCCGAGTTGCGAGTGTGCTGAGGCTGGGACTGTCACTCATTCTCCGCTCAGCGCGTGAACGCAGCTCGGCAGTGGCTGGCAAGAAACAATTCTGCAAAAATAATCATACCCAGCCTGGCAATTGTCTGCTCCTCGGTCCATTGCTCCGCCGCCGTCCACAGTCGCTTGCAAGGGGAAGGCACTGAATTTACCGCGGCCAGAACATCCCTCCCAGGCGGCAGTTTACAATGCTGCGAACTAAGGATCTCATCTGGACTTTGTTTTTCCTGGGAACTGCAGGTACATTTTCATTTCATTTTATTTTATTTTTTAAAAAAATTCTACAGGGGGCTTGTTAATCGTCCGCTTGCCCCTGTCCTTCCTCCCTCTTCCCGAGAAGCCCGGTTCTTTTGGCTGGTTTTGTGTGTAAGGCAAAGACAGCATTTTCACTGAGCTGAGAAGGGAGCGCATCGCATCGTCCTTGCTTGGCCAGCCAAACCCGTGCCCTCCGGGACGGCGCTGGACGCAGCTGCCTCCCCGCTCAGTGGCGGCCGCTCACGCCCTTCCCACTTGTGTGCCCGCGAAGGTGGGACAGGGGACCGGGATGCTGCCGTGATGGGCAGCGCTGCTTTCCCCTTCTCCGAAGGCGGGTGGCGGGGATGCGCGGCTCGGGTGGTGTCTCACCCAGGCTCATCTTCCACCTACAGGGGTTTGTCAAGCTTCGAGAAGAGTGAACAATAAGGCTGGGGCAGCTTTACCCCCACCGGGTATGTCCCGGGCTGTGATAAAGTGAGGCTTGCAGCCTTCGCTTACTCCCCCCCTCTTCCCCGCCCCGAATAACGGTTTGCAAAATGGGGCAACCACGGGCAGCACCGCAGGGCCGTGTGGTCGTTCCTGCACCCCCGTGCAAATGACGTTAGTTTTTCATTTGCCAAATTGCTGGGTAGTTGCAAAGCCTGCCCTCGGCCGGGAGCACGGAGGGATGGGAGGGTCCAGCGCCGCGTTTTGACAGGAGGAAGTGCAGAGGGGCGGAGGGCGAGGAGGGCGTGATCGGGGCTGCCTGGTTGTGTGTGTGTGTGTGTGTGTGTGTGTACGCGCGCGCGCGCGCGCGTGTGCGCGCGTGTGCCTTTACACGCACCGAGAGCCCAGGGTTGCACGGTGCCAGCGAAGAATGGCAGGTAGCCAGCTGCCCAAGACACCTCTCCCCATTCTCCTTTCTCTGGGAGATATTCCTGATCCTGGCAAAGTGTGAACAATGGGGAGCTCGGGAGAAAGACTGTAGCGACGCTGTCGCGGGTGGCGGGGGCTGTGCCACCGCCCAGAGATCCTAAGCATCCGGGAAGGGGGCGCATTGCATTTTGGCTATTTCCATCTCGGCTTTCCCTGGAAAATTCTTCCGTGTGCCCACCCTCCCTTCCAGCTGCTGCCCCTACTCCACCCAAGGATTTGTGCTTTGGCGTCCCAGTGGATTGGGAGTGGGGGAAGCAAAGGGCGCTGGGGCGGCTGAGAGCCGAGTGGGATGGGCCGACAGCTGGGGCGGGGGGCGTGTGCTGCCAAGCACCAGCTGAAAGCAGGCCAGGCAGAGGAGACCGCGCATGGCTGTCGCTTCTGCCTGGTGTGGCTGCACTGGTCCAAGATCTCTAAGCCTTGGGTGTGGAGCGCACAGAGCGGCCCCGAGAGCACCCAGCGCGCCCCCCTCCGTGGGCAGCAGGAGAGCTGAGCTGGGCCACCGCCTCCAGCCAACTCTGATCGGCGACCAATCAGAGTGAGGCTGGCTGGGCGGGAAGCCGCGAGAGGCTTTTATTGCGGCGCGGGTGGCGCCCGAGCTGCCAGGATGGTCTCCGGGTGTTCTAGCTTAACAGTCTCGCTCGCCTCCCGCCGGGAGAGACACCGCCCTGATACTGCCCCTAGCTGCACAGCAGTTTTCGAGGACATAAAATGGAGAAGGATAGGCCCTGGGACTTCTCTTGGTCCAGCTAGCTTATTCGCCCACTCGTGCCTCTTTCTCGGCGGCTTGGAGCAAATTCAGGCTCCCTGTCCATGGCACACAGTTGCGCCGGAGCGCTTCGCCTGCGAGTGCAGAAGACGGTAGCCCTCAAGCTGTGTCCTGGAGAGCAGATGCGCCTGCGCTGACCCTCTGGCCATGGACTAGAGGCTGGGGTGGAGGGGCGTGGCGGGGTGTGGTAGGGCGTGTCTTGACAGGGCGTGCCAAATGGATCCTCGCCACCACCAAGCCCAGTACTGGCAGAGGCGTGCCCTTCTCTGTGGTGCTGTGGGTGACCTCCTCTTTGGGTGTGTTTATTGAGACCGTCTTTCTGGATAGCAGCATGACAATGGAGACCTAATCTTTCATGATGCATCTTTTTAGGACCTCCTGGTGGTCTTCTCCATGACGGAGATGGGTGTAACCCTCAGTGTTTTTATCCTGGTGGGAGCTGAGGGAGGGAATCCTACAGTGGCGTGATACCGGATGCTGAGGCAAGATTGGCATCCTGACCAATGTTCTCTAGAACGAAAGAATTCGTATTCTACCCCTAAGCCCAGACGGTGAGGACAGTGAGGACGGCGAGAACGAAGAGAAAGAAGCACATACCAGCCCGTTTAACAAAAGAAAGTGGTTTTACAAAGAGAGTTTTCAATTAAAGTATTGTTTTCATCAGCTTAAAAAAATATAGAGAATTCAAGCCAAAGGGTTAGGAAGAATATAAAAGAGGAATATATATGAATTTCCCCCTTCCTTTGGCTGCAAATGCGGTAGGGTATCTACAGACAATGGTATAATTCAAACTCTGTTATTGGGTGAACATGAAAATTTAACATATAAGGAACGCTATCCCTAGCACTCGTTAATGAATATCCTAGTGAATATCAAATGAATCAAATGTTGTAGGTGTCTTCTGCTCGTTAGAAATAAAAAGACAGGTTGCATGATTGCACAGTAAATTTGAGCCCGTGGAAGCAGCATTCGTTGCATGCTGGCTGGCTGAATTACGTGAACTATGGGCAATGCTTAAACCACGTGCTTAGTTGACAATTTTAGGCCTTTGCTAGTCGAACCTGCGAAAGTTAAGGAATAGGCAGCACGGTTTTTCTAACGAGATAACAGCAGACTTATAACAAAGAATAAATTTAGTACACAAGGTAGCACGCATGACATATACCTCACATCTCATGCTAAGCGATTGAAGATGTGTTTCATAAAAATGTATTGTGAGAGTAATTACAAAGACCTCTATTCCTTTTACACTGGTTTTTCACTTACAATGGGAAATGTAAAATTTGGACAAAATTTAAAGGACTGTAACAAAGCCATACTTAATATGGAGGACCTTCCACCACTCACAACTCCTTTTCAAAAGCATGTTGCTGTCCATAAAAGTTTAGCATGCTAAAAAAAAAACAATTGAGATTAATTTAGAATTCATTTAAAATGTAACAAGACTAAAGTCAAATGGAGATTATAATCCAGAATTGTGGAACTATGGCCCTCCATTTATTTAAGTTAGTGGGTGTTATGTTGTTGTTTGGCTATATGGGGACAGTATCTCTCTATATAGCTTTAGTAGCTTAAAACTCACTATGTAGACCAGCTTGGCCTTGAACAGTTTTAAAATCCTCTTGCTTCAGCTTCCCAAGTACTGATAGTACATCCAGGAGCTACGAAACCAGCTTATTGATGTTTTTGCTGTTGCTACTACAAAAGTTCCGAAGATCTCTGTGCCCTGCTAAGTTTCTACTTATCTCACACTGACAACCTCCCCACCTTTCTGCTTCCTTCAAGAGATTAAACTTGGTGCCTTCTTTCTAGGCACCTTCACCCAGATCCCTTTTGTTTTAACAGTATCAGGAGACAAGCAGAAAGGTGTGTCTCAGGGCTTGGGTTAGTAAAGCAGCTTTTTCCAGGTCTACCCATGGCCATTGGTTAAACCAAGGATCTGTTCCTTTAATGGGTAAGTAGTTCTCTAAACTTGATCAAAAATTAAAGTAGCTAGGCCCTTAACCAGCAAGATGGCCTAGTAGGTACAGCACTTGTCATCAGGCAATGCATCCCCAGAACTCACAGGATAGAAGTGAGGACTGACTCAAGTTGTCCTCTGACCTCCACACATATGACAAAAGTAAATACATACAAAAAAATCAAAGCAAATATCAAAAACTCCCCCCATAAAAAAAAAAACAACGATGCAAGAAAAATTAAGGCATTGGCGTGTTATTCATAGAAGGTTATAGACTCCAGTGAAGGAGAAATAGCTTCAGGGAGCCCCAGCCTCTAAGAGCTTTTGAAGTGATTCCCTTTGGAGTATACTTATCATTAATTGAATTCTTCTGATAGGTAATCTATAACTCAATGTAAATAATCTCTAAATTTTCCTGTCACTGGGAACAATGTCTTAATTGCCTTTCAAAATAAATGGCACCATTTTGTCAGACAGACTCTAATCTTTACCGTGGCAGATGTTTTTTCTTCATGCCAGAACCTCAGTTTCTTAACGTATAGGCAACATTTGTATACCTCACACTGCTTGAGATACGGACCTTGGGATTTTTGGTGGCAATCACTTAATTTTTTTTTTTTAGATGCTGAAAGCTGTGTTTGTATTAGTTTGATGAATCCCCCCCCCCACACACAGTTTGATGAAGTCCCCCCCCCACATACACACATCATCATTGTTAAAGTACTGTGGCCTTTCTCCAGATTGCGAGTGGCTTCGGTGCTGCTGGCAGACCTCCAGATGTTTAACAGTCTTTCTCGACTTTGTGGGAAATAAGTGACTGACTACCTGTTGCTGAAGGACATTTGAACTCTCTCTGACAGTCTTTGGTCTGTGATGATAGAGACCAGAACGAATTGGCAGTCGGGGAGAACAGAGTCTGCACCTGTTCCCATCTATCTGCTGAAACAGTCTAGCTAGGGAGGAGACAAAGGCTCGTGCAAAAGACTGTCCAGTCCTGCTGAAGCTGTAGAACGTATAAACAATGCTTCGCGGTGTCAAGATAAATATTTGAATGCAAACTCCATGATGGAGCTTGGTGATCTAACGAATCTGTAGAGTAAGGAATGTCTGGAATTTTAAAAGTAATGGCAGGTAGCAAGTTCCAAGCAGCATTTTTTTTTCTAATCCTAAAAACTCCATTGTGAATTAAACAAAATTAGAAACATGAATCATCAATAATGCTCATTTCATCTGTGAGTCAAAAGACCAAGGCTCAAATACCCTTTGCTATAAAGGAAGAATTCTGACTAAAATCCAGGAGGGAACTGTGTGTGCTTTTTAATATACTCCCCAAGTCTCAGCAAT